GTGCGGGTGGTGGGGGGGGAGCAAAGTTCTCCCCATGACGTTATACTCAGGGAAAACCGATTGGATTCATCACCCTCACCTTAACTGGCAATTTAATTCGCAATTAAAACCCGAAACCGAAATCGCCATTCCGTTACACCCCACCATCTCCCTGCGAACCTCCAGTTCCCCGCCAGGCGCCAGTGCTCTGCTTCTGGTCGAGCTTCCCAGAGGAAGGCGATTCCTTCTCTTCCAACTGATCCCAAGCCCGCTCTTCTTCTCCCTTGGGTTTCCGTATCGGGCTTCAGGCCCATTCTTTCTTTCTCTTCCCGGGCCGCTAGACCGCACACAATCGCCCCGGGCTTAAGCCCATTCCATTCCTTTCCATTTTTTTTCGTCCACAACTTGAGCCGCCCAACCCACTTCCTCCTTTCTTTTTTGTTTTTTTTATCACTGGGCCAGCCCATTCAGCCCTCTTCTCTTCCCCTTCACACTCGGGCTAAGCCCATTTACTCACTATTAAAACCTGAAAACAAAACCAGCCACAACCGAACCCGGCCCGAGTGGAGAAAGCCCACTTGATTGGGTGATTGATTCACCAACCCATTTAAATCCATAACTTCATCATTTTATCCCGAAATTCGCCGCTGCTCGAACCGTTAGTTCATGTTTTGAGTCCTCTTAAATGTTACGGTGGAATTTGATAAATTTTCCTTGAGGGTATAAGAGTCATTTTGACTTTTGAAAAGAGCGGGGTGTAACATTTCCTCCACCCTTATAAAAATTTCATCCCCGAAATTTGCTCGAAGCTCTTTCCTATGTCCACACCGTCCTTCTGCATCCTCGACTTCAAGAAGAATTTTATTCTCTCGATATGAACTTCAATGTTCGCCGTTGTTTTTCCCGCATAATTTACTTCACTTCTTATATTTCCACTTGATCATAAAAGGTATTCTCACCAAGCTCGTCAGCATCGAGTAGCATTGAATGGCTACTTGTCCTTTTTAGTTACCTCGCTCGAGCCCAGGGTGTAATGAGACAAAATTTCAAATCAATTTATTGGTCCAGCTCATCCAGTACCTATTATTGGACCTTAAAACGAAGTCAGGTATCACTTTTTCCTCCCCCTTAAGAAAAATTTCGGCCTCAAAATTTGTCCATCGAGACGATTCAAAGACTCACCTTAGGTCATCTGTACTTCCTTGACTTTCACAACCCCCGTTATCGATGCTTGGTTCTAGCTTTGATACTCGAACTCAGTTCAGTAGCTCCACATCATTCCTCAGAGTCGTCGTATCCATAAGAGGCTTGCTCTATACAGGTTTGATACCTGCCAATACTTGGGCCTGGCCTCAATTTCTTAGCTCAGGTTGAATGTGGCTTGACTAAATGAGTGTGATTCATCCTTAACTACCGTCCTCCTGACGCTCCTTGGTCCGATGATGCTCCTCGTATAACCTTTAACCTCCCGTGACTATAGTATAACTCGGCATTAGCTGGTGGCACCTCTAGCTGAGCTTACTTAAACCCGGATACCCTCACCATGGGTTCCCCTTAACCTGAATTTTGTACTATCACAGAACGTATCACCCTCCGGTAAGAATCCCTCGCATACCTTATTCTCTAGATTGCACCTTTTGGTTACAAAATGCGCTCGCTCCTTCCCCATTTCTCTTTACATCGTTAATCTCGATGATTGACTCCTTCGTTTCAAGGACTTGCAGCTGATTCCTAAGGACATATTATATCCCTGAGGGATTCCCCAGTCGATGTAAGTATACGTATGTGCCTTCTCCAAACCTTAACTCCTTGATCCCTGGAAATCCTTTTATGTTCCCTATGACCTAATGAATTTCTCCTTGCTTTGCTTATGCGCCAAGAGTGTTGCTTAAAGTATAACTTTCCACTGCTCCTTAGGTCATATCCCTACACTCGATTTTCCGCGAACTCAAAGAACCTTTCTTTCTTCCTTTCAATTTGGTGATGACCACCCTTTTACTGTAACTCATTGGCTACTGCCTGTCGATGTACCAGATACTTGGCTCCTTGCTGAACCTTATTCTGATAAACTCACGTCCATGTAGGATATGAGCTTCCTTGACCCTCCTCTTCTCACCCATGAAAGGGTTTTCATTAAGCGATCCCCCTTAGGGATCTTCCCTTTATCTTTCTCCGAGACGTAACATAGTCACCCGGGCCTAATACTTTTCATTGTTAATCATGATTAGAGTATACTGGAGATTCTAAAAATCCTTAAAAGAAACCATGACTCGTTTGGCCAAACCTTTAACCTGACATCCTTTTTCCTTTCCTTTAAATCATAAACCTTGAAAAACTCAGATCGTCACTCCAGTATTCCTTGGAGACCAAGAAACAGAGGAATGCCGGCTCTGATCCCAAAATGAAACGACCCGACCTTTTTCAAAAACCAAACCATAACTCAAACCGAAAGTCGGTTACTCCAGAGCAACCCAAAACCACATTTTAAAATAAACAAACTGACATTATTTAAGAATTTTAAACAAAAAGCCCCAACACTTGGGCAAAATCTCAATCTCAAACACTTAAAAGAACTTAACACAGAATCCTGAACCTTGAATCTCCAGTACATATACTCATAATCATAAACATAAAATAAATATCAAATTTTAACTATAACTCTTCACCCAGCTACTTGACATCTCATCAGTACTGGCACGGCTGCTCGCCCCGTCTTACTTCTTCTCGGGATCCACTTCTGCTAACCCATCCTCAACCTGGTGAGTGAGGAAGGGTCAGTCTCATCGTTACTTCCTAAGGTCTTGCCCTAAGCAAACCCTTACTAACACATGTTATTAGAGTTTCTTTCCTTAGATGAAAGTCGTTCTCGCTTTCGTTCTTGATAACTTATTTGATTAATAACTTATTTCAACATTAACTCATAGAAGTTCTCGACTTCTCTCCTTAACTCAAACACAAAACACCAGGATAACCGTGTTACGTCTCGCCATCCGGTGTCCTACCCTAGTATGCCAACCGTGTACGTCTTGTCGTTCGGTTGCATACCCAAATTCCGCAATGGCACTGCGTTACGTCTCGCCGTCCAGTCCATGCCCGGTCAACTACTGCGTTACGTCTCGCTGTCTAGTAGTGACCCCAACATACTCGATCAACTGTTGCGTTACGTCTCGCCGTCCTGCAGTGATCTGACCATCTACCGCGTCCAGTAGTGGCCCAACCGCCCGGGGTTTCATCATACTAGTAACCATACATCACATACATAGCACAACGCGTGCCTCCACCTTAAGTAGGCGGTGGGATGCCTCACACGCATAATCGCGCAAACTCATAAATTAACTAAATAATAGGTAGAACGAAAAGCATAAACTAAAAGACCTACGCCAGAGATTTTACCCCCATTACACTCACCTCGAAAAGACGACTCTTCTTAATTGCCGGTTGATCTACATCCTTTTCCGAGATTGCACGGTCAACTTCCTTGTGTTTCCCCTCCTTTCGTATTTCCTCCTGATTTTCCACATTTATAGCATATTGTGGATTCATTTACAGGTTTATCTTCCTTATTATCATTGTTAAATTTTTCTAGGAAGGACATGTTTCTTGATGAACTAGAAACTCTTTCAGTAGACCCTTTGCTTACTATATTTCTTTTATTTTGAAAACTATTAGGAGATCCTTAATTGGCTTTTCTTAATTTGTGATCTCTTTTGAACTTCATCATTTTATGAAAACGTTTTCCAATGAAGGCAAGCTCATTTTCAAATTCTTCATCTAAATCATCATCTGACTCAAAGTAATAGTCTTGTGCTTTAGATTTAAAAGCAATGTTCTTGCGCCTTCTATTATCATCCTTATTCATTTGATTGATAACTTCTTCATGACTTAAGAGAGACCTAATAAGTTTTTCAACAGATAGAGTAGTCAAGTCACGAGCTTCTTCTATTGCAGTTCGTTTAGGCATCCATTCTCGAGGGAGAGACCTAAGTATTTTCCTAACAAGTTCCTTACTTGTAAACTGCCTACCTAGTCCTTTCATTCTGTTTATGAGATCATTAAATCTCTTATACATTTCAGACATTTGTTCCCCAGAAAACATTTCAAAGCTTTCATATTCGTTTAATAGAACATCAATTCGAGTTTCCCTTACCTCTTACGTACCTTCGTGAGTGACTTGCAAGGCTTCCCAAATCTCTTTAGCTGATTCGCACCTGGCTACTTGGCTTCGTTCATCGGGGCTGAGTGCAGAGAAGAGGATATGCATGGCTCTGGAATCGAGTTGAGCAGATTTCTTTTGTTCATCATTCCAGCTAGCTTCATCATCTTCATCCATTTCAATGGGACCTTCTCGCACTATTTTCTAGAGATCACTGTCGACTCCTCGAAGATACAATCGCATCCTTTTCTTCCAGACTGTATAGTCCGACCCATCGAACCATGGCGGATTTGTGTTTCCCGAATACCCAGTGGAAGATGTAGAGCCAGCCATAGTACCTTGAGGATGTTAATCCTGATACCAAGGAACCGGCTCTGATACCAATTGAGATTTTGGGCTGGTTGAAGATGTTTTAGGGTTTTGGTTTTGTTGGTAAGAAACACAACAAAGGAACTGAAAGAAGTGGGTATGATTATAGAACTGAAGTCATTCTGCAGTCATCAAGACTGCTTTTTGGAAAGGGAAGGACAATCGAAACATACACGGAACGAAAAGAGAAAGAATACAAATGGAAGATCGGTGAAAAGAGGACTGAACAATCTTCCCACTCCTATCTACCCAGAACCACTCTCTCTATAGATGAGGAGACTGAAGATTGTTCAAAAACAACCCGAACCCTTGACAACCTAATAGATCTACTATTCAAGCTGCAACCGTTAGCTTTCTTCATACTGAGATGGCCTTTAAATAGGCAGAGATCTTCAGGACCGTTGGTGTAGCCATGCTTTTGAGAAGCACAAGATGGGTAGGCATCCTGGTGCTTGGAGAAAGCAGTTTTCTTCTTTTGCTTTTGGGTGCTGAGGAAGACGATGAAGGATAAGGTTGATTCAATCCAAAACTGATCCAACCCACTTCAAGAGATAAGCTTCATCGAGTGACGTCGTTTAGTTGTAGCGGTTATCTCTTAGTGGCAGCTGCGACGTTTTGGGAGGAGCGTTGTTGCTGCGTCGTTTTTGGTTGTTGAGAAGTCGTTTCACAATTTCCCCCTTCAGCCGTTCCTTCATAACTTGTGAGATCCTGAAACAAAACAGAAAGCAGCCAAACATACCCAAGCATAACTAATAGCAAAAAAGATCAGGTATTAAGCAGAAAATCAGCAATCACCCATGGATTGCAAAATACCCATAGTAGTTAAAGTCAAGTTTAGCAATCACCCTCGGATTGCAAAGTACAATAAACATCACAAAATGTCTAGCAATCATATACAGATTGCAAAATGATCTGGAAAGACACATAATATTCTGAAAAGAAGTTCATCAGGCAAAAGTTCCCCCTGGGAATATGCAATCAAAAGATTCCCCCTGAGTTCAGCCATCAGCTACTGAGAAGGGCCAGGAACTGGAGAGTCAGAGTCTTCTTCAAGATCTTCATCCGATGACTCGGATGAGGAGTCGTCAATAGCAAATAGTAGACCAAGATTTGCAGGATCCCTTAATGGAGCTTGAGTAGGAGAGGGAGGAACATGAAATCCCAGACAAGTCAGAACATTCCTAGCACTGAGATGAATTGTGGGAGATTCAGATCGAAAGCCTGAGATGTTGATATTGATGTTTGCAAGAAACGTAGTAACAATCCCTCCAAAGGGCAGTGATCCTTCTCCTGGGGAGACCATAGCTCCGAACAAAAGTGAACAATAGTCAAGTTTCTGACCAGCTGTAGCGTGAGATATGACCCAGATGTCAAGAGGAAGAACTTGATCTCTAGAGTATCCACGGGGCAGTAGTACTCGAGTCAGAAAATAGTGAAAGATTCTGAGCTTAGGACAAAGTCGAGAGGCAGGAAAGACTTCAAAAGAGGAGCCGACAGGCTGTCCAGAGAACTTGGCCCCTTCAACATGAAGATTGAAATCGAACTTCCACATTTCAGATGTATGAGACAGAGCGAGACCAGAGGAAGGATACCCTAGAATAATGCTCAGAGCACGCATAGGGATAGATAAAAGGTGTCCATAGACTAGAGTAGAGAACCTTTTAGTCTGAATTCCCAGACATCGGAGGTTGCTGTAAAAGTGTTTCACTAGTTCAGGACAAGCGGGCTGAGCAGGAAGGTTGATAAGGAATTCCCAGCCGAGGGCACTGATAAGAGGCATGATATCCATTCCAAAAGGAATAAACTCATGAGGATCAATACGAATTTGGAAAGCAAGGGGCCTTTGATCAAAGTGTTCAAGGTATAGGTGATGATTTATGATGGAAGGTTCTCTATGGATGGAGGAGATGTATGTATGAACAAACCCAAGCGATCTGAGGTGATCAGACATCTTGATGGTTTAAAAGGTGATAGAGGATGAAATGATGAGTAAGCTTAGAATGAGCTGCTATCTATTTATAGGAAAAGCACATAATTCCGCATGGGAGCAAGAGGAACTAGGAATAAGCAAATAGTAAATGCAGGCATGCATTCAGCTTCGTAACTCAAACAAGCATGCTCATAAAATGCAGAAAAGAGACCAATCTTAGTGCAGCAGTAAATAAAGGAAATAAAAAGGAGAAAGGAAATAAATGCATATCCAATGAGATTTGCTATGGAGAAAGAGTGCAAATCTGATTAAAGGATTTGAGTCCAATTTCAGTGCATAGAGCAACAAACCTGTCAGTGGGCAGTGGTTTAGTAAATAGATCAGCAAGCTGATTTTCAGTAGGTACAAACTGAAGCTCAATTTTTCCAAGCTGTACCAAGTCTCGAATAAAATGGTGCTTAATTTCAATGTGTTTAGTATGAGAGTGTTGAACAGGATTTTTTGACATACAAATTGTGCTTGTGTTATCACAACAAATTGGTATTTTAGAAAATTCAAGCCCATAATCAGATAGTTGTGATTTCATCCACATTAATTGTGTACAGCAACTTCCAGCAGCCATGTATTCTGCTTCAGCTGTTGACAGAGCAACAACACCTTGTTTTTTACTAAACCAAGAAACTAGACATGGACCAAGAAAATGGCTAGAACCTGATGTGCTTTTTCTATCTGTAATATTACCAGCAAAATCAGAATCACTATATCCAACCAGATCAAAGTAATCACATTTAGGATACCATAACCCAAGATCAGAAGTTCCTTTTAGATATTTAAAGATTCGTTTAACAGCAGTTAGATGAGATTCCTTATTGCAAGATTGAAATCGAGCACATAAGCCCACACTGAATTGAATATCAGGTCTACTAGCAGTCAAGTATAAAAGAGACCCAATCATACCACGATATTTCTTTTCACAGACTGAAATACCATTTTCGTCATTATCCAGTTTGGAATTTGCAGCCATAGGGGTGTTACAGGGATTGATATGTTCAAGATCAAATTTTCTTAACATAGAGTCGATGTATTTAGACTGAGAGATGAAAATTCCAGAACTGATTTGTTTAATTTGAAGTCCAAGAAAGTATGAGAGTTCACCCATCATGCTCATTTCAAAAACATTTTTCATGGAGTTGCAAAAGTCAGAGCACATATTTGGATTAGTGGATCCAAACACTATATCATCTACATAAATTTGTACAATTAGTATGTCAGAATCTTTTCTTTTGATAAACAGAGTTTTATCAACTCCTCCTTGTTCAAATTTTTCTTTAATAAGAAATTCAGTTAGACAATCAAACCAAGCTCGTGGAGCTTGCTTTAGACCATATAGGGCTTTAGATAGTTTATAGACATGATTTGGATATTTAGGATCAATGAAACCAGGAGGCTGAGCTACATATACTTCTTCTTTTATGACTCCGTTTAAAAAAGCACTCTTGACATCCATTTGAAAAAGAGGGATCTTCATAAAGCAAGCAAAAGCACACAGCATTCTTATGGATTCAATTCTAGCAACGGGAGCAAATGTTTCATCAAAATCAATTCCTTCTTCTTGATTATAGCCTTGAGTTACTAATCGAGCTTTGTTTTTTATTATTATCCCTATTTCATCAGATTTATTACGAAAGACCCATCTTGTTCCTATTACAGATTTTCCTAGTGGCAGAGGAACTAATTCCCACACTTTTAGTCTGACAAATTGAATTAGCTCTTCTTGCATAGCATTTGTCCATTCTTCATCATTTAAAGCTTCTTTGTAATTTTTGGGTTCAAGTTGAGAGACAAAAGCGTATTGTCCAGGAATGTATTTACCTCGAGTTTTAATTTTGTCATCTATATTCCCGAGGATGAGTGACTCAGGGTGCCTTTTTCTGATGTGTGCTGGGGCAGACTTTGAGTTAGAGTTCAAGTCCATGTTTTGAGCTGCTTCAGCATCATCAGAAGATGGTTCATGAGAAGAATCTGATCCATTTTCTATATCTGCAGTCTTAGAAGAATGGTTAAATTCAAGTGACGGGAACACAGAGTTACAGGGATCAATTGGAGTAGATGATATTGAATCATCAAATTTGACAAAGACAGATTCTTCCACTCGTCTGGAAATTTTGTTAAAAACACGAAAAGCTTGTCCTTTTGTGGAATATCCCACAAAAATGCAAGGATATGATTTAGAGTCAAATTTGCCTCTATGATCTTTTGTGTTTAAGGCATAGCATTTACATCCGAAAGGATGGAAGTAGTTAAGATTTGGAGTTTTATTTTTTAGAATTTCATATGGAGTTTTATTTAGGCTTTTACGAATGAGGACTCGATTTATAGTATAGCATGCAGTGTTGACAGCTTCAGCCCATAGATTCTTTGGAGAATTAAATTCAAGAAGCATAGTACGAGCAGTTTCAATAATGGTGCGATTTTTTCTTTCTACAACACCATTCTGTTGTGGGGTTCTAGGAGCAGAAAAGGAGTGGTTAATTCCCTTTTCATTGCATAAAGTTTCAAAGGTTTCATTTATAAATTCTCCTCCATTATCACTTCTAATTGATTTTAAGCATGCAGAGGAGTCATTTAATACTTGAGCAACAAAGATTTTAAATTTTCCAAAAGTCTCATCTTTTGAAGCTAAGAAGAATACCCAAGTGAATCTAGAGAAGTCATCAATAATTACAAATACATAGGATTTCCCTCCTAAACTTGTAATATTGCAAGGACCAAAAAGATCCATATGAACAAGTTCATAGCAGGCAGTTGTAGTTATATCCTTTTTACGTTTAAAGTTTTTCTTAGCATGTTTTCCAGCAATGCAAGCATCACAAAAGAAGTTTTGTTTTTCTTTTAAGAGAGGAATTCCTCTGGCAGACTTAGATTTGGATAGTTTAGACAATTTTGCTAAACAAATATGTCCCAGTTTTCTATGCCAAAGGGATTCCAGATCCTGAGATAAAGCATGGAAGCAGGTTTCATTGAATGAATCAAGATTGTTTAGATCAACAATATATATGTTTTCCCTTTGAGTGCCGAAGAAAAGTAGTTTTCCATCGCTAATTCTTTCTATTTTGCAAAGTGAAGCTTCAAAAATAACCCTATTTCCAGATTTGCACAGCTGGCTAATAGAAAGAAGATTATGTTTAAGTCCATCTACTAGCAGAACATTTTTAATGCTGGGAAAAGGAGAATTACCAATGGTACCATTTCCAAACACCCTACCATTTCTATTATCTCCAAAGGTAACCTTACCTCCCTTTTTATAAACTAGAGAAGAGAATAGATTTTCATTGCCTGTCATGTGGTGGGAGCAACCACTGTCAAGATACCAGATGTTTTCAGAAGCTCCCAAGTTCTGCAAGAATCAGAGATTAGAGCATTTAGGTACCCAATAGCTTTTGGGTACTTGATTTTTGTTTAATTTTTGTTTCCTAAAGCAATAATATTCTAGATGACCAGTTTTTTTACAAAAATGACATTTATATATTACTGGATATCTTTTAGTGGTCGAGTTTTTATGAACAACCATCTGATTTTGGAATTTGAATGGCACAGAATTCTTAAGAGGTTTATCATGTGAAGCAAGTTTTGACTTCAGGAGTTCATTTTCAGCTACAAGAGAGAAAATTCTTTTATCAAGTGAGGATTTTAGCTTATTCTGACACTCAATTGAGTAATTCAGTTTCTCTATTTCCTTGTTTTTCTGTTGCAGTTCAGTCATTATCAGGCAGTACTTGCTTTTTAATAAACAACATTCTTTTTGTAAGTTTGATAAAGCATGTAAAAAATCAGGTTTTGTTCTAAGTTCATCTTCTAAATCAGAGTCAGAGTCAGAAATTACCTGATGACCGAAGCTGGTTTCCTCACAATCTGTGCCAGACTGGTTTGAAGTAAAGGCCATGTATGCCAGATCACCATTTGAGTCCGAGTAATCTGAACTCAGATCACTCCAAGAGGCAACAAGAGCCTTTTCTTTTGATTTAAATGGGCATTTTGATCTTATGTGTCCTGATTTTCCACATTTATAGCATATTGTGGATTCATTTACAGGTTTATCTTCCTTATTATCATTGTTAAATTTTTCTAGGAAGGACATGTTTCTTGATGAACTAGAAACTATTTCAGTAGACCCTTTGCTTACTATATTTCTTTTATTTTGAAAACTATTAGGAGATCCATAATTGGCTTTTCTTAATTTGTGATCTCTTTTGAACTTCATCATTTTATGAAAACGTTTTCCAATGAAGGCAAGCTCATTTTCAAATTCTTCATCTAAATCATCATCTGACTCAAAGTAATAGTCTTGTGCTTTAGATTTAAAAGCAATGTTCTTGCGCCTTCTATTATCATCCTTATTCATTTGATTGATAACTTCTTCATGACTTAAGAGAGACCCAATAAGTTTTTCAACAGATAGAGTAGTCAAGTCACGAGCTTCTTCTATTGCAGTTCGTTTAGGCATCCATTCTCGAGGGAGAGACCTAAGTATTTTCCTACCAAGTTCCTTACTTGTAAACTGCCTACCTAGTCCTTTCATTCTGTTTATGAGATCATTAAATCTCTTATACATTTCAGAGATTTGTTCCCCAGAAAACATTTCAAAGCTTTCATATTCGTTTAATAGAACATCAATTCGAGTTTCCCTTACCTCTTACGTACCTTCGTGAGTGACTTGCAAGGCTTCCCAAATCTCTTTAGCTGATTCGCACCTGGCTACTTGGCTTCGTTCATCGGGGCTGAGTGCAGAGAAGAGGATATGCATGGCTCTGGAATCGAGTTGAGCAGATGTCTTTTGTTCATCATTCCAGCTAGCTTCATCATCTTCATCCATTTCAATGGGACATTCTCGCACTATTTTCCAGAGATCACTGTCGACTCCTCGAAGATACAGTCACATCCTTTTCTTCCAGACTGTATAGTCCGACCCATCGAACCATGGCGGATTTGTGTTTCCCGAATACCCAGTGGAAGATGTAGAGCCAGCCATAGTACCTTGAGGATGTTAATCCTGATAC